AATATATAAAAAACATGCCCTTTTGACCTTAATATTCATATATGGTATATAATAATTGTGAACGAGTAAGTAATATAATAAGTTCACTACTTAAAATTAAGAAAAGAATTCATATATTACACAAGAAATTTTTAAATTTGACGTTAATACATATGTAAAACAATCGATAACTTTATCCACAACCAACTTTTAAATTTTAACTTAGAAGTGTTTTTAATTCTTCAATAATACTCATTTGTATGGGTGTATTGTGAAGTTATTTGAATTCCAAAGGACTTAATGAATTCCAGATCAGTCTACTTTATTTTTTTTAGCTTGTATAAAGTCACTTGAAGCAAGTATATACTCGTATGTATAGTGTTCAACGCTTGTTCATATCTTATGACCATTTTTACTTGGCTATTTCATCAGGTTTTAATATCGGGCCCAAGATACTTTAGCTATGATATTATGAGAGATAGATTTGGTACATGTTTTAAAAGTATGTACTTCGAAACATTCGAAGACGCATGCGTTGACAATGATAATATTGAAACGTCAAAAAGCAATAAATATGATAAAATGAAAGGGACGAAACATCTTTTTGGATATGTGTAAAAGGGATAGGTAATTTCTTATCAGTTCAGTCATTGATAAGGGATACCTACTGTAGACCTGATAATGTAAACGTATTTTATGAGTCCAGTGGTCATTGTGAAATATGATTAAAAAATATATTCAAAGGTGAAAAATTGTGATTATTGTAATTGGATGAAACTATGTTGGCTGAAGATGCCCTTGAAGCACAGGTCAATGGCCGTTTGACAGTGAGTTAATTATTAACGCTTTTTGGGGTTGATTGAGCCTTACGTCATTTTTAATGTTAATATTCGTTTTTAATCTGTTTAATGATGTACGGTTTATTTTAAAGTTCTTCTGTCTCTTTTTATCACAGCCCAAAATAGAGAGAAACAGATTAAAGTAGTTTAATTTGTGAACGAACGAATGCTTTAGTAATGAAAATCTACTGTCCCTCTGTTCGTGTATTTTGTTTGTCATATGGTCATAAAAAACCTCGACTGAGTTTGTTTTTATCGGGTCTCTTAGGGCTGAATTATTCGAATATTCGATTTGAATATTCAAAGTGTATCCAGGCGTCTTTTTAACAGTTTTTTATCTGGAATGTCATGCGTGTGCCTAGATGGTTCTAAATTTAAAATATAATTATTTTGTAATACAAGCGCGCCTAATGTTCTCTGGGGTTAGATTCCAGACTTAACGCTAAATTAGATTTTATATCAATAACGTATTGGATGACTTATTCATTAATTACCTACACTAAAGTCGTCTTTCTCTGTCAAACGTGTTAATGCTATGATAAAAAGAGACAGACTTCTGTTACTCCACACTTTGTTTATTTACTGAGAGAACGTGACTACAATCGCGTATAGAAACCGAAATTAGATATATATAGATTATTTATTATACGATAACTGTATTTACGCTAAGATAAGACCCAATTGAACAGCAATAACTTAACTTTTATGGATTTAATGTGACTCAGTATGAGGTAAACAATAACATAAAATTTCCATCTTTATTTGAAAGCGCGGAATAATACGGCGGGATACATATGCTAATTATGAAGTAAGTACAATTGGACTTTGTACTTTCTGTAAGATTGCTATCCCACCCATAGTTGTACTTACATAGACGGGTGCTTTTAGTTTTCACGGCAATTACCGTACACCACCTCTACAGGGCGTCCCAAAGTTATGGGACATGAAGGAAAAGTACCTTAAATATCGAAGATAGGTTATTTTACTGAAAGAAGAACATTTTCTAAAAATTACTTGCCTCGTCGGGGAAAAACATCCCACTTTTATGATGCCAAGAAAGAATGGAAAACTAATAACTCTTCTTAATACAAATTTTAAAAGAAATAATTTGACATTTTATCAAATTAAATAAATACTGTGTGGGTATTTTTTGTAAATTAAAAATGTAAAATATCCCTAAAAAATTAATATCACTCTAGGAATACTCGATCTTCTCTTTACAGAATTACTAAATTAAAAAAAAAAAAAAAATTTTTTTTTTTTCAATACCCTATCTACGATATTTAAGGTACTTTTCCTTCGTCCCATATTTGGGACTATATGGACCAGCCGCATGTCATTTATTAAGAAACAAACTAAGATTTTTAAAATTCTGCTGGGTTTTCTTTAAACTAACCGACAATTTTTAGTTGACATGTCTTATCATTGAACATAGACCATCCTTTTCAGTCTATTAAAAAAAGAAGTAACATGGAGAGAGTTTTGGTAAAAAATGGTAAAACTGTCCATTTACAGTAAGCAGTAGTCAATTAAAATTTAATATGACTACCCCCCAAAAATAAAAAAAAAAAAAATCCCCTTCTGCCTTCTTTTTTTAAAAGATGAAAAGGGTCTGATGTGAATGGACAGTTTTAAATGTTATAGCATAAACACTCATTATTGTTGTTATTTAGTTCAATTAATATGTAAACAAAGGCGTTTTATGCAGTTAATCCAAGAAACAATGACTTCGGTAGTCAAGGAACGAACAACCCTGAATTTATTGATGATCAATTTGTGTTAAATAAACAATAATTATAACTATCATTGTTATTCAAGGTCTTTTTGAAACTTATTATTTTTTTATAATTGGACATTAAATATCTAATAAATATATTTTTAACAAAAAATAAAAAAGTATTAAATTACAATATTTGTTTTGTATTGATTAGTCTTGTAAGATAATAATAATTAAATGTACTATACATTTAGTGAATTAGTTTATAACAGGGGTAGATTATCGATCTCATTAGATCATTTTTTGGAAGTCGGTGCCAAGTCACAATCCTTGTGCTTCTGAATGGTCATCAACCCAGGCTGTATGTGTGTGTATGTAAAGATATTGACGATTACATTTTCGACCGCGAATTTCAGAGCCTTCTGAGAAATGATAGTTCATCAGAAAGAATCTTCTAGAAAATTGTATTCGTTACAGCAGTATAATATAGTTAAATTATAAAAATTCATTATGATGGATCGCTTTCAGTAATATTTTTATTTATTAATTTATTAAAGTTTACCACATCATACATAGTTATCTAGTTATATGTTACAAATTCTTTTAACTATAATGTAAGTAAACATAAATGTCACAAATAAACTAAAAAATACAATAAAAATACTAAAAATTTTTGTTAATCACAAAGAAAAAAACACCAGCAATTAATTTTATTATACCTACTAACTTATTTAACCACATCTCAACTAACAACTGTTAATTAAAGGATGAGTAAAACATTTAAAACGATGAACACCTTGCGTGTCTAAATTAATTAACACAAGTATTTTTATCTATCTCTTCATTCTATCACAATTATAATTATAATGTTAATTTAAAATCAACGATTTCAAACTCAATCAAAGTATGATGCCCTGTTCCTGGGTTACGGGACTGAATAGGACCTGCTTGATCTCATAAAGAATAATCAGTAACAAAACTTTAAAGTGACTATTTGAAAAAATATTCCGTCAGACGAAGTCTAATAAACGCGAGGCCGACAAAGGTCTGGCAATATCCAAAATAGTCTTAAACGAACTTTAATGGCCTGATATTGATATTTCCTGTAATTCGATCGCAATGGTACAACGAATTACGTGTGAACCATTTGTGCCTAAAATAGACTATATTTATGCTAATTTAAATTAAATCATGACGCAAAAGCCTCTTTTTTTGGAACATAATAACGTGCTTAATAACTTGTTTCTGAAAACAAGTAAACACTTTTAAGTTACTAGCAGGCCCTGGTCCCATTAAATATGTTTTTTATTAAATGTGACGTAAATACTATGTGACATGTTCGCTAATGTTATCATTAAATATTCTAAATGAGTATTTCACAATATTATATTATAGATTGTAACATAGTTTTATGGAATTTTAATTTATAATTTAAGTACGTTTTCTACAAACTTAACGATATTTTAATATGTCTCTAATTGAAGTTTAAAATTCCTTAAACTGGTTTAAACGCCTGCACCTACTTGCTTCCTTATTAACTGAATTATTGTGAATCTTATTACATAACATTACGGTGTAGTTTGCAATGTACAAAAAGTAAAATGTGTGAATCTTGCTTTGGTGGTTTTGGTCCAGTGTTATTAAAGATGCTTTCAATATAGTCTAACAACACCTCACTCAAGAAACCTCAAAGATTCTGTTTGCATTTAATTTATGTATAATTCTTTATAGCTTTACAAATACCAGAACGTCTACTTGTCTCATACTTGTCTATTGTATAGAAAGCGAACCGGGGTCGATATCAAATCTACACAGTTTGTATGGTTTCTTTACCCGGAGTCCATACAAATGCCACCACGTAACCGAGAATGGTTCATCAACTCATAATCATAGGTCAACAGGCAATAAGGAAGGCGGCTAATTAGTAATTAGTTGGTGGATTTTAGTGATAGTTATTCGGGCGCGAAGGGATTTCGTTGGCTTCGGATTATGTTTAGTGGAATACCTATTTGGGTATTTATAGTTGATTCTATTAGCTTCCAAAGCATTGTTAGATTTTGCGCTCTAGATAGCTGTTCTGTTTAAATTGCAAAACCCTAATGTGTGAAGTGTCTGAGCTCAGTTTAAAGTTGTGCGATTAATAGAAAACTACACATGTAAACTTTAAAACAACAATAAGCCTTTAACTCTAAAGAGATTTAAAACATTTTCTAATGCTGTCGACTTATCCCCGTACTTAGTAATAACTAATCACTTATTTAATTATAAACGTAAACATACAGTAATCTAATTGAAGGTCGGTGTAATTGCGATGCCGGCATTTGTGACAATTGAACTAAGGGCCTTGGGGTAAGTTTATGCGATGCTCGCGTTGATCGGGACAAGGGCGTAAGTACCGGCCAGCGCGGAGTACGGTCAGCTTGCGGAAGGTCCGGCAGTAGTTCCGCCGCGCTCAGGCAGGCGCCATGCGGGAAGACGAGCCTCTCCTCTGCCCCGCGCCAAGCACACCCCGCAAGCCGTCCCGCCTCAAACGCACGCTACGTACGCTCAGCTCGCCGTTCCGCAGCGGCTCGCCCTTCCACATCGGCTCGCTTAAGCGAACTGGTTCCGCTAAATCTTCAGTGTCCGACGGCGAGATCGCACGCGACGAACGCACTATGCGTAAGAAAAACAAGAAACCACGTTCCGACGTGCCCGCGTCTACCTCGCGCAGTAGTGACAGCTCGCCGGTTGTCAAAAAAAAGGAAAGTAAGAAATTAATCAACATAGACTCGACTCGCTCGGAGAGCACCGATCTATCTCGGTCGGAAACGGAGCCTGAACCACTAACCTCAAATGTCGCGCAAATTACAGCAAACTATGAACAACTACCTGGAACTCCAATGGAGCCAATACTGCCCAACGATGAGCAATCATTTGAAACGTTACTGGAGCAGATCACACAAACTACTCCGATCACTCCGACGGAAAAGTCCTCGCATAACAATGATGAATCATTTGAAAATTTAATGAAAGAAATTACGCAAAGTAATGAGAAATATCCTGAAACTCGATTTGAACCTGTAACGTCACATGTCGAGCCAGCATCTTCTACTGAAATGGAGCCAGCGTCGCCTAAACAGAAACGATCGTCCAACACAGAGTTGGAAGTGGAGTTGCCTGAAAGTGTCACGCCAGAGCAGATTTTCAGTCCAATCGTGGTGGAGCATCCGGTGGCTACCAGAGCGTTCACTAAAGCGGCGTGGCAGAAGCGTGCGCCATTGACTGAAATTCAGAAGCCTATCGAGGAGCCAAGTCCTGAGGGGACTATGAAGCGGCGAATTGCTTTTGTGTCACAATTCTCGATGTATCAGACGGAGGACCATGACGATGATGACGACGACGAGGAAGAGGGGCAGACGGGCGAGGTGGGGTCGCTGGAGGAAGCGGTGGCGCTAGCTCGCTCGCGGCTCGCTGCCGGCGCGTCGCAGCCGCATTCGCACGACAACGTCGACGCCGAAGAGAAGGGATACGCGGAGGCGAACATGCCGGCCTACGGAGACCTCATCGAGCCGGAGAACAAGGCTGGGAGCGACGGACCGGTGAGTTGTTGCGCTCGATTCGCGCGTCAGTGGGTGATGGCGTATCGTACGATGCGCGCGCGCCATGACCTTCGAGGAGACAGCTGACGAGTGCTACCTCACAGTGTGCGAGTGCTGCGGTTTCAGCGCCGAGACGTCGCTATTGTACCCCGTACGTTTCATTTCACGGTAGTTTACAGCGGGGGACACCGCGATGCCCTTCGTGAGTACGCAAGCCTCTAAGCCCGTGTGCTAACAGCTTAAAAATAATTTGTTTGAGTCTGTGCCATTCACTTATATTTTTATTTAATCAAGTGTCTCTTAACTGACTTACGTTCCATTAATAGTTTCTTTAGTATTTTAATTCGCGCTAATAATAATTTATTTATTTATTTCGTAATCCTACAGCTAACATAAATTATATATAATAACAAACAGTTACACTGAAAATATAGCCAGACATGAAATAAATTTAACTACAAAAAGTAATATCGCATTCCAACGTTTAATTAAACATAATGTTAACCAACAGATGATAAATACTTAATTTTTTATGCACATTTATTATATCTTTTAAAACATCAAATTTAAGTAATTTACTTTATTTAGTTGGCTTTTGCCTGCCAATTAACAAAAACAGGTTTATAAAAATTGGCTGTCCTCTATTTGTAAACAAGTTGAATTTTTTCCTACCTGCGTTTTATTTATGTATCTTTAACCATAAAAATGTCTAAAGATAAATCGCTTATACATTAAATCTTATTTAATCTAATTAAAATACAATAATATTCTGCATTTCCAACGAGAACGACGCACTTCTATAAATAAGCGCTCGCTATTTGCCGTGGATGGCTAATCACGATGAATCTAAATGAACAATTCATAAGCGTTTATTAAACTTATCTTACCTTACCTTATTTTAAATAAGCAAGGCTTTTAAGTAGAACGATTTCGAGGTATGTGGCTATTTATATATATAAATATATAATAAATAATATATAATGTTACATAGTTGTAGTTGATAACAACCAAATATTTTTTATTTTATTTTGTTTGATTGGCCATTTTCTAACATCAATCCAATCTAGCTTCAACAGCTGTCATGCTTGTGGCGTGTGTTTACTGTATAAAGTTTGACATATTTGACAATACTTAAGACAAGATTATGACTTAAGATAATCCTGCTAATTGGAATTGCTGTCATTGTTTCTAGACTTATTTCGGAATATGAGCGATAGGGATTGGGTTAAGAGTCGAGCTCCTTATATCAATTCTAGTACGCAACGCAACTTAGACTAAGTTTCGATTCTGAATCTTACCTTTAGTCAGTATTAAAATAGATTTTCTATTTCACTTATAACTTGTATATATTTCTTGTATATATTCATAAACTTCGTAAATGTTTCTTCGAGTATCGAGTTTTCGTTCTATTCACTTTTGTTTTTATTGAATATTACACTATCGGATATTATGACATATAAAGAAATCCACTATAATTGTTGTACTATCTGCGCTCGCGACAATACTCCTTAAACCATATAAAATTCCACATTATTAGGTGCATATATCAATGCTTAAGTTACAGTTTTGAACGCAATAACGTTATATATACAAAATGTACCTTATAAGACGAACATATATTAAATGTTTAGTACATAAACAACGCAATCTTTATATATATAATTCTTCTGTGAGTGTGTATGTCACTGAACTTCTCTCAAACGACTGGACCGATTTTGATGAAACTTTTTGTGTGTGTTCAAGGGGATCTGGGAATGGTTTAGATTCACAAATCAGCCCGGCAGATGGCACTGCAGTCGGTACTTTCATACTTTGCTTAAAATCCTAATCGCTTTAAATATCATGCAGGACAACGTCTGTGGGGTCCACTAGTATAATATAAAGAATTGAAATCATAGAAAATTAATTGATGTAACGTTTGCAATTAAGATACTTAACAATCAGGTTGATTGCCCCAACCTTTTAACAAAATTTAAATTTCGTGTACCCTAGATATCCTCCGGGCATCCCATCATTCCATTTGTCCCTCCTTTCCGGAGAACGCGTTTTGGCCAAAACCCATATTGAGCATTCTATTTTTTTCTTTTTGTTTTCTCTAATTTAAGCGCTTCTCACATAAAAATTGGCTTTTTATTTTTCTTGTACCAATGTATCAGTGTACCGAGCGTTAGCAAGCTATAATAAATAAATAATAATTCAATCATTATCGAACGTCTACGTTACTGTATAAACGTATATGTTAAACCATTTAAATACCTTCTATTTTTCTATATCAATGACAGGCCTTAAGCAGTCGTGCGTGCAAGTAACTCTATCCTGAAGCTCGAATTACACTCTAACCACATTGGTTTTGCAATTACATTAAGATTATTAGAAGCCTTCAAACATGATACCGCGTCTTTCCCTTCGTAGCTAAGCGCGTAGCGTGACGTAGGGTACAAATGAACGTTGACAATAATAATTTTTCAAGCGGCTTATACCATTTGAAACTTGGCGTTGTTCATTTGCAAGGATATTTGGAAAGGGTGAGTTTTGTGTGATATTGTGGTTCTTATTGAATACTAAAATTTGGTTAATTTCAATGATTCAGTACTTTCAGTTCACTTACTAGTCGATTGAATATTAGAATAATTAGTGATTATATCGTTATTTAATATGGTTTTTAAGTAATACGTTTTGCGGATTTATATTAAGGATTTATATAGCGTTATATAGTTTTCGATTCTTATGGCCGGCAATTCTTTGCGCATTATCAAAACCGGTTATCAATAATCTTGCATTTTTTGTATTACCCAATGTAATTGAATTAGTGAAATACATGAAAAGTCAATGTTAAGCTTGGAAACGTGTTTATCAACTTTATAAATAATATAATACACAGAAGAAAGATTTGCAAATTGTAAGGAATAGCATTTATATTGAGCAAATACATTATCTTTGAGGCTATATTTATTTTCAGAATTAAAATATAAATGTCCAGCAGTGCAAAGCGGGCCGCTAATAGTTATAATGTTTCGTTATTGCGTTTAATAGCCAGTAGTAGTAGTAGTTTAGTGTCTGAGAGTTTTATAATATTAAATGCAGTCTAAATACAGTGATGCTTAAGGGACGTATTCTGACGTGAAATTGCTCATTATATGGAAATAAACGTTACATTGTACATACAAGGAACTAATTAAAGCCGAGAAATTTCTTACGTTGTAGGGAGTTTGAGGTGAAATGTTTTAATGGAGTTTACACTGTAGTTGGAAATTAGGAAAAGACAACGATTTCATTTTAAACGTGTAGTTTCGCTTAATTGTGTGACAGCATACTACGATAGTATACATATTATTCTAAATTCGCCTCATTCTGTCATATGGAATTAACGCTTTGATAAAAAAAGACAGATCTATTTGACTGATGTAGTTTATATGATTAAGAAGCGGACACAACTTTCCGATTCTCGAATCCACGTAACTTAGCAAAAAAAAAAATTAAAATCGGATTAGGACTTGAACATATTAAAGAAAAAACTGTTTGACCGGATATTAAAGATATACTAATTCAGTAACAGCCAATAAAACCTCAACGACATTTACAAATCAATCTATTATCTATAATATATTTGAAAGCAAAACATTATATTAGTGTGTTTTTGTTTTTTTCTATTATACGCGTTTCTCATCGTTTAAACTTTCTCCGAACTTCCACAAATATTTCAAGAACAAAATTAGTCAAATCCAGCCACTCTCGAATTTTAGCGAGACGACCAGCAATACATTTTTATATACCTACTAGCTGTAGCCGGCAAACGTCGTTTTGCCATGTATATCATTTATAATAAAAAATAGGGGTTGATCGTAGAGGGGTGAAAATTAGGGGTTGTATGTATTTTTAATGCTGTATCATAAAAAAAATTATCTAAAAATAAAAATTTAGGGGTTTTAAATTTACCCTTAACATTTAGGGGGATGAAAAATAGATGTTGTCCGATTCTCAGACATACCCATTATGCACACAAAATTTCATGAGAATCGGTCAAGCCGTCTCAGAGGAGTTTAACTACAAATACCGCGACACGAGAATTTTATATTTTAGATATAGAACATAGATAGATAAATATAAACGTTGTAAATTACGCAATAAAAACTGGCTTAATAGTACGTAATCCGCAAAAATATTCCCACAGTTATCATAATTTGATAATTAATTATTTTTATCGACTTGTATTAAACTAAGTTTACCAACATATGTTACCGGAAAGTAATTCTGAATAAACAAGATACCAGGTTACACTGAGTGCAGACAAATACTCGACGTTATCAGTGTCCGATAAGACGTTTCATTTCCAGACTTAAATAGAGAGTTATCGGCGAAAACCAATAGTTATTCACTGTACTACGCCTCTGTCAAGACCTGCGTGTTTTCATACAAAAATAATGACAAAATAGTGAAATGTGCTTTGCGTTTGAGAAATTTAAAATTCTGCTTTTTTGGTTGTATTTTTGTGTTTCTTGACGAAGGACGTGATGTCGCCTAAACAGCACAGATGCGTAAGTACCTAACTCTTAACGCGAATATTACAATGCACATCATTTGATGCTCCATGATATATTTATTACTGTAATTACGCACAGTTATGGGGAGTGATTATTAACGTAAAATCTAATATTTAAAATTCTCGTGTCACAATGTTTGTTCCCATACTCCTCCGAAACGGCTCGACCGATTCTTATGAAGTTTTTTATGCATATTCAGTAAGTCTGAGAATCGGCTATTATATATCTTTCAAGCCCCTAAGCGATAAGGATTTTAATTTTTTTTCTTATATTTATTATGTGGCATTAAAAAATATATACAACCCTAAATTTTCACCCCTCTACGATCAACCCCTATTTGTTAATATAGTTATTTTTATTGAACTAAAAAAAAGTTTTCTAGAAATAATATACATGGCAAAAGAACGTTTGCCGGCTCAGCTAGTATTGTATAATAATAAGCCTTTATCTAAAACCGAAATAGAGATATATACAATTTGATTATTCTCAAATGCGGCCCCCGTCCGTGAGAAGGCCTCCACGAAGTTTTTTCTTTCTTGACAGCTACCCTTTTAATCTCATCGGCCCATCGCTATTTGGTTGGCCCTGGTTTTTTTGTCCTTTTGGGTTCGGATACCGATTATGACCTGCCATCTGTAAAATATTATACATTTTATAAAGCTTCCCGGATTACTAAATCTATAGAGACAGGTCTTAATAGATAATAAAAAAATGCGTGCGTACAAAGTACACATTTCAGAAATGAAACTTCTTTGGCAAACTAATTTTTAAGTCTTGTTCATATTTATACAAATCTAAAACTTAGAGGGAGGGAAAAAGTAAGATATGTTATGAATTAAATGAATTTAATTGTCATTAAAATATTAAAAGTGTCGAATACAAATTATTTTTTTAAATTTATTTCTTCGATAAAAACACGTGGCATTTTAATTTACAATCCGTCATTTGAGATTTCAATAAATAATTTTGCATAAACTATGAAATAGTAATATTTCATAAATTCTCTTTACGAAATTTTAATTTTAAAAATAGAATTTCCATAAGGTAATTCACCCTTCTCTCAATGTGTCTCAATCGCTCTCTCCCTTTTCTTCGACAAAAACGCTGCACATCTTCGTGACGCTAAAATTATTATTATTCAAAAATCTTATTCAAATTCGTTGCGTAGTTTAAAAGATGCAGGGCGACGCGACGGTACGCGACATTTACGCAAATATGTTAACGAAGTTGTTGAAATGCCAACCTATAAGAAATAAACACATCGAATTGCTCTATGAAACTCAAGTAATCTTTCGTCTCTTTCTGTCAAATGGTGTGATGAAAAGATACAAATGGGACATAAGTATGCACTGGACTGATGTAGTTTTTTATTAATAAAAGTCCAAATAAACAGATTCATCGTCGTGTTTTTGTGTGAATACTTCCAAGTTTTGGTACATTATTGGTTTATTCGGTCAAAAATAAATGTTCTGTTTAGACAAAGATCTCGATACTATAACATAATTCTTATCAGCTTACGAAATAATATAATTCATATAATGCTATAATATATTAGGACCTAATACATATAAAATTTACGTTTTGTCGTACTGGCCACTTTGACCTCAAATATCTTTGGTTAGGAATTCCAAATTAATTTTTTTTCAAAAAGCAGCATTGTTTTTGGAAACCATAATTCATTTATTTTCCCGTTTTAATTTTATTTCTTTGCGTTACTGTATTCATAAAATGGAAAACATAACTCAAAATATATATATATATATTCATATAGGTAAACAAGTTCACTTTTAAGTATGTAAGAAGAACAGCCTTGCGATTCTGTAACTCACTTTTCGAACTCACACAGCGGTTATCACAGCGGCGGTCGCGCTCAAATCAGTCGTAAAGCAGTCATTTTACGATTTGGCATTCTGATAAGGAGGGAGCCTGTAGTTTATTGTTTATAGGCCACTCTTCTTAATTTAACATAATAGTTATAATTCCTTATTTTCTTCCATATATCATTTGAAACAAACAGTACGATTACAATTAAGAAGATAGACTGAAGGGAAACTGGTGGAAGAGAGACTGGTTTCCAAGCTAGGTAAGATCCTGTGATATGGATAACATTCTTCAGGCTTTCAGGCTTCCATACCACAGCAAAGTCATACTGAGTAATAACAAAAAAGTACATATGTGAGTAGGCAACAAAACATGTTAGCGATAAGGCCGCCCGTTGCCTAATACGAGTAACTTATGTAACCTGCTTTTTTATATTTATGTTTTTGTATAAAGTAACGAAGTGTAAATAAATAAATATATACCTTCATTAAATTTGTTTCGCGTGAGAATTTTTCAAATTTATGCCAATATTTAAAGAATGTTTAAAATGTAAAGTATGGTTATTTAAATAATTTTACTCGAAATTTTATTTAAAACTAATATATAAGCGGCGCCGTATTAGCCGGTGGTTTATTCGATTTTGTTGTGTTCGAAATGTATCAGGTTCGTAGCAATTCTTTTATTTTAGTAACTTCGAATTAAACCTTCATATATAGTGCCCTTATGTACAAATGACACCAACAATGAAGTTATAACTGTCAAAACTTAATATGTTCACTTTTTGTACTTTTGTAATTATGATAAATAAATCTTTTAATACTTCTTTAATAGATATATAATTAATCAGATTACCTAACTCGATGTTTTAAGTGCTTTTCAGTAGTCGACTGTAATCATAGTATCATATAGTATTGAATATATTGATTGATGATTGCTATATTAACACCATAAAACTGGGAGATGGTACTTAGTTGCAAGTACTATCTTCCATGTTAGTTGGTAATGTAATTAATAGTTAATTTCCATTAAAAACGTCTTATATGCGCTACAATATTATTTTTAAACGTGTTCTAAAATTGCATATATATCTTTTTCTTATACGAAACTCATGTAGATATAAAAATATGCAAAGTAGAATTTAATAATTTTTTTGTCATTAAATATCACTAAATATAAGTTATTATTATAGAATCTTTTATGGGTATATAAATACGTCAATATATTGAAATTGACTCGTTTTTAATATTTGTTTTGTCTAAGACGCCTTGTTTTTTCTATGTGCGTAAGGTCCTAGTTGTTCCTGGGGGAAAATAAAATATCTTAAGGAGAGCGATGATTTTAGCTCGTACTATTAACTGTTAGATCAATTTGTTACCTTGGCATTAAATTAATCGCAAACCTATATAGACCCAATGCATCAAATGTTAATTAATCGAACCTATTTACAAATTATGTATAATAACTAGCTGACCCGCAAATGTTTGTTTTGCCATGTATTATTATTTTTAGGAAACATTTTTTTGGTTCAATAAAAATAACTATCTACAATAATAAAACATAGGGGTTGATCGTAGAGGGGTGAAAATTAGGGGTTGTATGTATTTTTGTATGCTGTATCATAAAAAAATAAAAACAATTTTTTTTCTAAAAAAATATATATATATTTGGGGTGGACACCCCTTATCACTTAGGGGTTTGAAAGATAGATAGTAGCCAATTCTCAGACTTACTAAATATGAATAAAAAATTTCATACGAATCGGTCGAGCCGTTTCGGAGGAGTATGGGAACGAACATTGTGACACGAGATTTTTATATATTAGGTTATATAGCCTACACACTCATTGCAAATTGACTTGAAACAAAGCATTAACTTAATTTATATTCTCGAATATGTTATATAAAACGTTAATATAATATTATAATATCTAATCTAAAATATACAAATACAACAATCTTCTACTCTTAGCTTTTAAAATAAATATTACGTTACCCCAAGTTCTCATGAATGCTTTTATTCAATTTATAATAGGTCAGAATATCGTTAAAAGAGTTTGCTTGTGAGAGATACAATGCTGGTTTGTTTTCAGTAATATATTAAATGCCTATTATTATAACAAGTTTTTGTGAAGTTGAAAAACAATGGTACATTATTGTGAGCAGTAATTATTTTCCTGGTAAAATAGGTGTTATAAAGCTAAAGATGTTACCAGTCAATATTTTAATACAGTCATAAATTTGTCTTCAAAATTTTAAAAATCGGATCAACCTTCAAGCAATGTTCGACTTAGATTTATATGATTACAATAATATCTAATCTAAAGACTACTTATTTCCAAGGATTTTCAAATCTGAATTTTAGTCTATTTAATATAATTCAAATTTATTTATAAAATTTCAGATTTGTTTTTGTAGTATTTTGGTCTCAATAGACCGTACAACTGCGCCACAATTATATTTTAATAAAAAAATGTTCGCTAAAGACCTTGCAGTATTTTAAATCCGGTTGAATATTAATAGTGTTTTATTTTGTTAACTTTGTTCCCCAACTACCATTACCGATATACTATGAACTTGTTTGAGCGATAATTTTATTTAATATACTTACGTCTTATACAGAGTGTCTTAAAAGGAAGTTCATATTTACTTCATCGATTTAAACAAAAGTAAGTCGTGTATCAAAAAAGTATTTATTCATTATCAAAGTACACATTTTGGGAATTTATTTCTTAAAAACAATACCGTCTGTCGACCCTCGCGTTCGCGGCACTCATTTAATCGAACAATAAAATTACTTATGACGGCTCGGCAGGTGGACCCAGTGATGGCTGCCATTTCGTGACGGATATTTTCTTTCAATTGCGCCAGAGAAGTCGGCTTATTGGCATAGACTTTAGATTTAAGATAACCCCATAAGAAAAAAATCCATTTGCCTGAGAAAATTTCAGGAACTCGTGGCAGAGACGTATTGGACGTGTGTGATGTTGCTCCGTCCTGCTGGAACCATGTTCTTTGGTTATAGCCAGGAAAGTTTTGAAGTTCAGGCAACAAGAAGTCGTCTAACATTTTCACATAACGCTAAATAAATAAATGTAAACTTTCTTGTGAGACACCTGTTATTATAGTACTGCGTTTAATAGTCAAATATATATTTTAAATATTAAAAGCTGCCTATCTCGTTACAGTCTCACGCCACATCGAGTGCGGAGCGGCGGGAGCATCTATACAAAATCCTGGTTATTGGTGAACTTGGTACAGGGAAGACCTCTATAATCAAACGATATGTCCACCAGTTCTTCAGCCAGCACTACAGAGCAACCATTGGCGTGGACTTTGCACTGAAAGTGCTTAACTGGGACGCGAATACGATTATACGACTTCAATTATGGGATATTGCAGGTAATTTAAATATAAATATATATTTTTTTATAGAACGGGGGCCAAACGGGCAGGAGGCTCACCTGATGTTAAGTGATACCGCCGCCCATGGACACTCTCAATGCCAGAGGGCTCGCACGTGCGTTGCCGCCCTTTTAAGAATTGGTATACTCTTTTCTCGAAGGACCCTAAGTCGAATTGGTTCGGAAATACTTCAGTGGGCAGTTGATTCCACAAAGTGGTGGTGCGCGGCAAAATCTGCCTTGAAAAACGCTCAGTTGTGGAACAGCGGACGTCGAGGTGATACGGGTGGAATTTCGTATTCTGCCTCGACGTCCGATGATGAAACTCAGCTGCAGGTATTAACCCGAACAACTATATATATAAAACGATTTCCTGGAAAATACCCGTTTCACCCAGCTGTTGTTACCCTTCTGTGTCTCCGAAACCGAAACTGTTAATGTTAGCTTCGTTTATATGGAATATTTCTTTACCCCTATTCCGGAACGGTGGGTTTTGCTCTGGTAACGATGAATCTGTTTCTAGGCGGCTTAAATTATTACTTCAATTTCAATTTAAGATATTTTTAAATATTTCTATTATACTTTACTTTTCAGCTTTATAATGTCATTTATAATTCATAATAAATAGCAAAATATAAATTGATTGTGTCGTCTACATACATAGACATAATATCTATCAGAGTAAAAAAAAATACAGGTTGTATGGCTTTGCCACGAATTTCCTTATGTTTGGTATATTGTAACAGGAAATTGTGCCCAAAATAGACACCTTTTTTCCCGTTCGATTGTGTTAAAGTTAGTGGGATTCACTTAGATAGAGATATTATATGACCGTTTACACGCTCAACTACCACCTACAACACATCCTATGCAATAGTTAAGCTAACATAAGTTAAAACACAAGCTGTTTATTAATTTACACATACAGATAATTCTATAACTAATGTTGTAAAGTGTAGTCTTACAACTTATATCATTAAAGAGATCTTGACAGTTCTTGTTTGAGTAATACGATCAAAGTTATTTAAATATAGAACATAAAACCAGAAATTTGGAGTTTATGAGTTCATTATGTGAACACTATTATTGCAACTTGAATAAATATAACAAATTAAATATAAACCTACAAACCACAGATCAACTAATACAAAATAATAATTGTATATATAAATTTATAATGCTTTTGAATAAACGATTTAGACATTTTATGACATCTATATCTGATATTACTATTTTATTAAGTTCGAAAATCAGTGTATAATTTATACAGTGACCGACATCATATATTATTATAGAAGTTTCTTTTAAAGAAAAATTTCCATAACAACTATTGCGTACTTACATAAATATATCCCGCCGAATTTCTTTTTTTGAAGTAGATATTAATAAACAAATACTTTTTTAACCATAGACAATCTGTAAAACACAGGCAGGTACTAAAAAAACTATCACGTGATGTCACTGTCAAAGTTAAGAAATATAGTCAAGGTTTTCGTAGGCTGAGAACTTGTAAAATATTAAGTTATGGATGATATGGGATTAGTTTTCTCTTGGATGTTCATGATTCTTATAATTATATTGTCGCTGCTGTTTCTATCACTACTTATGATGGTTCCATATTAAGTGGTAAGTAGATGTAAAAAATATGTATTTAATTTTGATTGTATTCTTATTCAATAGTTAATTAATTCGCAGTTGATCTTAAAGTTTTTCATATAATAAAATGACCTGTCGTGGGTTGGAAGAATTTAAAAACCAAAAACTTGTTTGAATTGATAGGATAAACGAATTTAGTAATGACATATCGTGTCATGTGTTAACATGCTTTGGACTAAAGATATTATATCGTCTTGATTTTTAGTTCTCACCACCCTGCCCAGTGAATAATGAAAACCATATCATACAACCGCGTACTTGTTCTATACATATTAGAAGTTATTTCACCGTATAAATCTCTTATGTAATTCGTTAATTGTAACTATGTATATGAACTCAACAGCCCCACTACATAGTTAAATACAAGTTGAATACTGTTTTAAGGCTTTATTTACTTTGGAATGTTGAATCATCATCAGCCTCACTTCCAATTTCCTCCCTACTAAGCCCTGTAATGGCCTCTCTGCATCCACTGGGAGCCAACCTCCTTGACAATGTCGTCAGTCTACCTAGTCGATGAGTGGCCGTGCGGTCTTTTGTTCTTCCGAGGTCTGCATTCAAGAAGCCTGCGGGTCCATCAGTTTCTGTCCATGCGCACTGTGTGGCCGGCCAATGCGCTGTCGCAATGTGTTTACTTCACTTTTCTGATCTTCTAATTGTTCCTTACGTGTGTTGTCAGGGATAGTTAATTTGTAATTTATTATACATTACACTTCAATGTGAGTAAAAAGATGGCGGTTGCGTGTTCACGTGTTCTATCCTTGAGTGATAGTTTTTAAGCACGTTTTCTTAATTGATTTCTACACATTATATCACGCTATTTGTAGCACGAAGCCAGTCAATTGCATTTATATGTGGAAAATAACGAGGTGTCATTGAAAAACGGAAAAGACTAAAATGATAAATCACTTTACTTAAACGAAACTAAATAACCAATCTCGTTATATTCAATAGACATATCTAGAGTAAAGTATAAAATGACATGTGTCAAATTGGATCAAGCGAGACCTGTCACGTGTGTTGTTACGTGTTGCGACACCCAAATTCTAGCTGTTTTTTCTCGAATCCGGACGTATCTATAACTTCGATCAAACTAGATATGGTTTTGTATTGGGATCACCCAGTACAAAAACTCAGTTTTGAGTTCGAGATAAACAAATGAAAAATCTTTTAGGTAATCAGGAATGTATGTACTTTACGACTTATTCTCATGTACTTACAATACTTCAAAAATATATCGACTAAGCCGTTTCGGCACACGCCTATAAACAGCGTGACACAAGACCTTTATAAATATAAATTTATTTATTATGTTCTCCTACTTAGAATATATAATATATAACGAACATATATTGTACCTAAATAATCTAAAATGGAATACTTATCTAAACAAACAATTAAACATATCTTAGAAACTTAAAAGACAAAACACATTTAACTTATAGGAAAAACAAACATGTATACTTAATTGTCAGGATATAATATACTTGTGGGTATGTTCATAAGGCAGGTTATTTATCCCTATGGATATTTATAATATTATTTTTAAGCATATTTTCTTTGTTTTAGGGCAAGAGCGGTTTGGCAATATGACCCGTGTCTATTACAAAGAGGCTGTTGGCGCGTTCATAGTGTTCGACGTATCGAGAGTTGCGACATTTGACGCGGTGGTGAAGTGGAAGAACGACCTCGATACAAAGGTTCAACTACCGGATGGATCGCCCATACCCTGCATATTATTGGCGAATAAGGTACAACCATTTGAGTGATATGATCGCGTTTGGTACGCTTATTACTTAGTCACCGTTCTACCAAAATTCCTCGTTGTATGTCTTTGATTGTCAGTCGTATGTCAAAATGCAAATTGGTTTTCAAACATCACCTCGATGTATGACGTGGTACGCTTTCTTGAAGTAGATAAAAAATAAAAAATACTTTTTATGGACATAGACAATCTTTAAGTCTTGTTTGAAATATCAGATCACGTTGCTGTCAAAGTTGATATAACAATCTAGGGTTACATAGGCAAACTTTTGTATATTAGTGATCCCTGTATGAATTAGTTTGTACTCCTAGTGTCGAAACTTGATTACATAATTTAACCGGTACTAAAATTTTCCAGGAACATTTGAAATTTTCATATAAGTTTGCTATGCATCACGTATCGAAATATCACATCTGTTCAGTATTTCCTTATTAATAAAAAAATGTCTGTCATAAGTTATTAATATGTGACGATATAATAATGATATATTACGTAAGTATATACGTTATCTGATCATATATCAACATCATACATTAACTGGTTGAATGTAATTATAATTTATTAATAGTAATTAACTCGTTTTCTTGTTGAGATAGGAAAGTGTTTTAATATAATATTATGAAGCCATTATAATTCAATTCAATACGATTTCAAAATACATCATTTTTTGTTCTTACGTATGCTGTATGTTTGAAAATATAAAATCAGTAATAAATAGAAGAAAAAACGACTTTATCTTACTATTTTTTCTATTTTATTTAGTGTGACCAGCAAAAAGAAGGAATAGTGAATTCACCGGCTAAAATGGACGAATATTGTCGGGAAAAAGGCTTCGCGGGATGGTTTGAGACGTCGGCCAAAGAAAATATTAATATTGAAGAGGCGGCCAGATCTTTAGTTAATAAGGTAATGTTTAAATATTTTTTATACTAATGATCTAGATCAGTGTTTCCCAAACTTTTTTGTGCCTTAGCCTTTCTAGAATTTTAGTACCCAGCCCTATACATACATATTTTTTTTAATATAAAAAAAAATTGAATTGTTCACTTAAGAAAATCTTACTCACTCTCTTGTTAAATTATAGGTTTATTTAAGGACACAGTAAGTTTTAAAAATATATAATAAAACACTGAAATTCAAATTTCAAGTAATTTTTATAACTTTTCGAAATCCCCCCCTTAATAATCGTTATTGCAAATAAATAAACGAGACGAGTAATTAAAACTAAATTAAGTAAATCAAGTCAAGTCAAAGTCAAAAATCATTTATTCATATAGGTAAAAGCAATGTACACGTATGAACGTCAAAAAAGAAATATACATTAAACGCTTCTAATTTTACATTTACTGCCAGTTCTCAAATTAAGGGCGTAGAACGGAAGAGAAGAACTGGCAATAAACTCTCCGCCACTCTTTTTTTACATTATAAATAATACCGATCATGCGTCGTGCTTCCTGTCACACTTCCTCGCAAGGGGTGTGCTTAGGCCCGTTCGGGGCGGATCCCCTTCGTATCGTGTGATGGTACGCGCCCTGTTGACGGTCCCGGGGCGGGCTTATAGCTCTTGACGCGCTGCAGCGAGAGAGAGACAAGAGACAGGAATACCTATCATTTGTTATTTACGCTTGGGCGAGGTTTGCTGCAAAAGGGAGCATGAATGATGAGGCAAATATATTTCATCCGTTTGATCATCATATAAGAATCGTTTCATCGGGTATCAAACCTGTGAACTAAATGCATCTAATAAACAAGTCAACTAAGTCTAATATTCAAATTAAAATATATTATTTTTAAACAAACGCAACTGTCGTTTAAGGATATTAAAATAGTACAAGTATTAAAAATGTCAATGTCAAGTTATGACCTTAAAAAAGACAAATTAAATTATATTCTAGCTTTTATTTTATTGTGTCGTTGAATTTTATTGTTATTTCTACTGAATTTTAATATAATTGCAATAAATTTTGGTGTATGTATAATCAAATGGTATTCATATTTCGTATAGTGGATATTATAGTCTGTTGAATTAGCATCTGTCAGATCAATTTCTCATCTATAAATGGTAAAATTGGTCTGACCTTGTTGCTTTGGTCTTGATATAGTAAAGGAATATAGATTCCAATATTAAAAATATAAATTCCTTAAGCACCAACTGATATGTTAGTTCCTGATTTGTATTATATTTATATTTACTGAAGAAAAACACAACACAAAAAAAAAAATGTTATTTGCAATTTTTATGTATGTTGTTGTTCACTTGTGTGAGGAGAGATGTGATATTATGACTTGTCAAAAACCTTACCAAGTCTTTGCCAGTAATTGCTCTCTTTTAACGAAAGCACTCTTTTGTCCCTTTCTGTCAAATGTGTTTACGCTGTGATGAAAAGGGACAGATTTATTGCAATCAAAATGAGGATGCTTTAATCGTAAAGTTATTAACTTTCAAATCAAGATAGATTAGAAGGTCGTTAGGTACGTTAAGCTTCACGATTGCCTTGGTGTTTCACAATATTGTGTAATAAGTTGAAACAAACAAGAGGGAATTTTTTGGTTGCTGGTTACGGTGTAGGCGATAAAAACCCTAATCCGGTTTTTTGATCGAAAATAAATGGCGTAGGAGCTAGCGGTCAATGTTCTATAATTGTTTTGCTATTGCACAATGTGATATAGGCTTATGAAATAGTGAGTAAGGTGCGCATTAAATGGCGAATCTAGCTGTTTCTTCCAACACTTAATCTATACCATGATTTGAATACGACAGAACGTTAGATTCTTTTTTCAAATTAAGTTTAGACTTTTGACATTCGACGAGATTATAAGAGAATTTTCGGATATATTATGTTCGTAATTTTTATTAAAGATGGATTTGAAACTTTAAGTATTAAAATCATATATCATTTGCTAATTATGTAAAACAAATTTTATCTGGAGTAAGATGGCGTATTAAACTTAAAATAAAATATGCTTCAGCTCTTACGCTTAGTTTGTCGGTGAGCATTAATAAATAATTTATGGGCCTTTTTTTACATACAGAGCTTATTAATAACACTTTATCTCTTCATATTGCGTGAATGCCGATCTTTCCGTAATTTATAATCTATGGTTTTATTTCATGTAATCTAAGCTAACGAATATTTCCAGTTAAGAGGTTTTTATATAGCGTGTTCGGTTCCTGGATCATTGGGATGCTTTAAATAATAGAGGATTTGTTTTTTCTCAATTTTAACCACTCGCTTACAACAATAGAATATAAGCGAAATAATTAAATGATAATTGCTATGAAACGAGTGCAATGTAACAGTGCAAGAGTGCCTACGTCTAGCTATACTCTCGGGGCGTAGTTCAGACGATTTAGGAAATCACAATCACTTGTAAAACTAAGAAAGCCTGAGTGAGCAAAATGTACAGCCTTGGCTCGTGGCAGGTGTCTATCGAAAACTACCGAAAGGATTTTGTACGGTTGACACCAATGACAATGTATGTTGCAATAAGGAAAGTATAGGTGTATAAATCAATATGGTTTTATGTAAAATTACTGAAATATTATCTACTATTGTTGAAGAGATTGCTAAACAAACAAAACCTGCGGCGGAAATTACTGTTATAAAGGAACATTAATCCTTTTAGGAAAATAACACTAATACACTTAAAAAGTTTATTATTTGTTGCTTTATTTGTAATGAAATACAACCTACATGATAGAACGAGTCTTACAAGAATTCATATTGATTTTGTATAAATCTCGCATACAAAATGTATCTAATGAACCCTATCTTAGGTTTATGTTTAACTAGCGACCTGCCCCGGCTTTGCACGGATGCAGTGCTGATACTAAATTCAAAGTGCTAAATTGTATAGGGAGAACCGCGGTCGCCGACGCGCTGAGACCCGCAATTTTTCAATTTGTAATATCTTCGAAAATATTCATTTACATCATATGCTGTAATAAGGCCATATAGAGCTATATTAAATCAACAATGTATTTAAGGTATTTAATTGGATAAGGATTAATGCTGTATAGTTAAAATCGCTTCGAAAATTAGCCATAATTTGTCGTAAAAAGTAAATGACAAAAAAAAATATTGTGGGATATCCATAAGAGATAGACGCGCGGAGTTTTCTGTAGACCTTTTCAATGTGTACAATACTTATTCCATTAATTTGATAAATCTCGTAGGGTTCGCAATGTAAGCGGAAAAAATTTAATTATTTACGATTTACGACATCACATTGCCAGAAGGCTCGCGATTGCGTTGCCAGCCTTTTAAGAATAAACATGTAAAATATCTAAATATGTCGTCGTGAATTTATGGAAAATTTTGTCATTTACAAAATATATGACAAATGTTTAACACGTATAATTAACACAAAAATATTGTTTCCAGATTCTTCTTAACGACAAACTGCTTCAGAACAACGACAAGGACGGCGAAAGGATCGCACTGGACCACAAGATCGCAAATGGCGAGAACAGTCGAGACCTCGGAGGGAATAAAAGTTGCGCCTGCTGACCATTTGCAAACAGACAAAATTCACCCTTATTGTGCAACTATGATGATCAAGAAAATTACAGAATAAATTGAAGTGTCAAATGCTATTTGACGGATAATTAATCTGTCTTCTTGACAAAATTATATTACCTATCTGTGGTTTTAGATTCGATGGGTAATTTATCAGTCGTGACATTATATTATCTGTGAAACAAGATGGCCGCTATTTATTGTCGACGCCGAAGAATTGTTTTTAACATTTCCTTTTTTAAAATGGCGTCGTTTTTTATATTGAAAATGATGACGAAATGATTTTCGTTTCACAATAAGGGTGTCTATTCTTGCACTGATTAAACCTCGCTTTAAAATGAACAATTTTTTAAATGATAGGATTATGAAATTATATTCCATATTTCTCAATAATATTATTTAAAGTTTGAGCCAAATATTTTATAACTACTACAAAAAATGAATATTATTCGAAGTACCCTGTTAATTGGAATCTTTTATTCGTAAGAGTTTTAAAAATGTTAATTTGACTTTTACTTACTAAAACAAGATTTTGTTTACACATATTGTTTCATATGGAGGTGAAATAAAAAGTAATAATAGTTCCATATGAGCCTCCTTGTAAAATATCTTTTTATCTTATTACTTTGTATGAAATCTTATATTTAATCTATGATTCATTCGAATCCATAGATATCAAAATTTGCGCTAAATAATTTCATTGAAGTATAAACAGCTTTATTGACGGCATTTCTTGTATTTATCATAAGTCATAGCTATATTAATACGGAAACGAAATTTTAGAGACTTTAAGAATGTACTTTTATGTTAACAAAACTTTATGTATATGACATTATAAGTAGGTAAAACGTTTGGGGCTCTAGAAAAAAAGTACTGTGCAACATGCAAATGCCAGTAAATATGACGTAATCATTGATCAAGTGCGAGCTAAGGTCTAGGCTAACGCCTTGTCTAAACCCCACGCCTTCTGAAATTGTATGTTGACGCAATCTTGAATCAAGCATTGCCAATTGTCAAGCTTCGACTTTGACACTTCGTAGAAGTCAAAAATCTAAATGACGTTTTCTAAAAAGTAGCTTAAAACGATTTAGAATTTGAATTAATTTTTTACTCCTTTTTAATTGTTTTGGTTTTGTTGCGTCGTATTAGGCTGCCATAACACCAAGGGGCTACTATTTTATACACAAATAGTAAATGATTTTGTTTTTTTTGTTTACATATAACGTATGCTTACTGTGCTTAATGTGCCTTATATAAATAAAAACATAATTTATTGTCATATATATAATGTTTAATTTAAGTTGAAAGTGCCTCTATGCATCGAATTTAATCCATATAACGAAATTATATTTAAGATTTTTATTCTGTACACTAATTGGGATTCGCAAATTTCAAATTTTATTAAGTGCCATGTTGGGCTTGAGTCAGTAATTAGTTTATAAATGAGTTAATATTGTAATAAGTATTACTTATTGTATGTGAGCGTGTGGATTTATTACAGAATAAATTGTTTTAGAAAAACGATATTTTATTTAGAACGAATACCCGCGGTATATCTCTCCTTTATCGATAAACGAACTATCTTACAGCCTGGCCACGGGACATTCGCCGATGCGAATATTCGCGCGGTGCGAACGGCGATGCGTCTAGCGACTGAAATAAACTCATAGCAATGTACTAATCAAGCCACGCGCAACGGCGACCGGCGATGCGACCGGCGAAATGTACCGAGCGATTCGCGCGGGCGACTGACGTCGCGACCGGCGAGCGAAACAAATGCATGAATCAGTACGGTGCAAGCCACGGAGTCGAGCGGCAGTCGCGGCGAATAGAGAAGGGAATAAATAAGTTTAGTCGTGGTCGCGGCGAAAAATGAATACAGAGTTTTTTGTTACTGAAATACTGGCTAGACCAGCTATTTGGAAGTCTGGCCATCCACAGCATTAATTTAATATACCTTAATCTCAAAAACAATTTTTCAGCGGCACTTAAAATTCTATTTGCATTAACTTTTTTCTCCAATTCTGGTTGAATATTCATAAGAATATAATTGAAGGTTTCAATACTCATTCTGGTATACTCAAAAAAATAATTCTGGATATATTCTGTATTTCTCATACTTCTTGTGGAATTCTCCACAATTTCTAAAAATATTAGGTCTTGAACCAAAAGCTATTACTTTCCAAGCAATATCGAGATGATTTCGATAAAGACATTTCGCTGTCGAACTTCCTTACTGGTCGCGGCGGCAAACGTGACTGGTGCTTGGCCTGCAAACGCCGCCGCGCGAATGGTCGCCTCGCCTCCCGCATCGCCGTTCGCACCGCCGATCCCCGTGGCCAGGCCGTTACTTAACATTTTATTACTTCTTGGAATCCAAGGCCTTATGATCTATACACAAGTCATATGACAGACATTTGTCATAATGAAATACATCTATAATAATAATAATTTATTTATTGCAAGAATATGGTACAAACATGTGTAAGGTGGTACAATCGTAAGTTCCCGTATTCTGCCACAAACAATGGCGCGCAAATTTGTCTTTAAAGGAATTTTACATAATTAGTCAAATTAATTCGTCAATTCTTATATTATCTGTATCATACATATCATACGTTATTAAATGTATATCAACTACAGTGTCTCACGCAAATAATCATTTATTGAATGATACATTCGTTAATCATAGATAGCGTTCACGAAAGAAAATATAAGAAGATCTTTGACGCCAAAAACATCTAATGAAATGAAACAATTTAACCAATTTCTTAATGACACTGGAAGGAACTAAGCGTTTAAGATACAGGCTAGGCCTAGTTTAAACGCTAGTGCTCACAGAAGTATATAATGTTTAAGGTTAACCACAATGAATATTGTATCTTAACGATTCGTAGCATAGTGTATGTTTACAATCTTTTAAATGTTAGTAAAAAATGTAATATTTTTAGTCAAATAAAGTAATTTTTATTTATTTATTTAATGGGTCATGGGTAGACAACAGTCCTACGTCTGTTTACATCGTAAGCAAGTAGATGATTTCTACCTACCACTTCAATTTTGTGTCTGAAAAAGTAATAAGAAAACCCCTTGTGAAACGAGTTCTACTTTGCTGAGAAGAACGCTGAAAGCTTTTATATTTGAAAGGCTTGGAAATGCTTTACAGTATTAATTTCGCTATTCATAGACACATCAAAAACAAGTGTCGGTATTTGTACGTAATTATGGCATCGGGAGACGCTTGATTCCATATATTTATATTTCTAAAGATCGAATATTAGAAAAAATATTATAATCCTTCTGAGCAGTGTAATACATTTCATGATAATTTTTCAATCTAATAGGCAAGTAGGTGATCAGCCTCCAGTGCCTGACACACGCTGTCGACTTTTTGGGTCTAAGACATGTCGGTTTCCTCACGAAGTTTTCCTTCACCGTTCGAGCAAACGTTAAATGCGCACATAGAAAGAAAGTCCATTGGTGCACAGCCGGGGATCGAACCTACGACCTCAGGTATGAGAGTCGCACCCTGAAGCCACTAGGCCAACACTGCTATGTAATTAATAAGTTGTAAATAAATGCGGAATAGCATTATCTGGTCTACCCAAGGGTTTTAAACTAATGGTCCAACAAAATACTGAATTTTGTATAGCATAGTTATAGCAATACGTTACTGTTTTGATTCTCAAGTTTTTTTGCGTTGTGTTGTATAATCGGTTTTTATAAGGTTGGAAATAAAACAATGGCTCAATAGGCTAATTTGATAAATGTTTTTTTACGTGATATTGCGCAATGCCGTTCCGAAAAATTGATTTTAACGAGCCTTTATCTTTAGACCATAAACATAGGGTACGGAATTTTAATAGCTCTCAAGTCGGTTGAGGCATGTTAGTGGGAATATCGAACCAAGAAAAGAGGGCTTTGTAGATAGATAATCTTAAAGTGTGTTAGCTATAATATTTACTGAATGTATAGATTGTGGAGTCTTTCCAGACCAGATGAAGATAAGTAAAATCACACCGTTATTCAAAACGGGCAGCACTTCGGACCCCACAAATTTTAGACCCATATCTGTGCTGCCGGCTTTGAGTAAAATCTTTGAAAAAATCATTCTTGAACAATTATTGATACATTTTAATAATAATAAACTTATGCATAGCCAGCAGTATGGTTTTACAAGAGGTCGCTCCACAGCAGATGCTGGCATTCAATTAATTTCCGAGATTTTAAATGCTTGGGAAAATTCTCATGATGCCATTGGAGATTTTTGCGACTTATCAAAGGCTTTTGACAGTGTCCATCACGAAATCCTAATCAAAAAACTTCAACACTATGGCATTGGCGAAAAAGCGCTAAATCTTATGGAATCATACCTGAGCGATAGAATTCAAAAGGTAAATGTAAATGGAGCTATATCACAGGGATCCTCTGTTACTATGGGAGTACCACAAGGCTCCATACTTGGTCCCTTCTTATTCCTCGTCTATATAAATGACCTACCATTTCTTGTAAAGGAGCTTCACGAGATAGTACTGTTTGCTGATGACACTTCGCTTTTATTTAAAGTGAAACGACAAAATCCATCACTTGATAACGTAAACAGTGCCATCTCCAGTGTAGTTCACTGGTTTAATACAAATAATCTTAAGCTAAACGAAAAGAAGACAAAATGTGTTAAATATGTAACTACAAATGTAAAAAGTAGTCATTCTCAAATAATAATTAAAGACGAGGAAATAGACTTTGTTGATGATGCGGTGTTCTTGGGAATTACTTTAGATAGTAAACTCCAGTGGGGCCGACACATAGAAGGTCTTTCGAATAGGCTAAGTTCCGCAGCGTTCGCAGTAAAAAAGATACGCGATCTTATGGATGAGAACACAGCAAAGCTTGTTTATTTCAGCTATTTTCATAGTATTATGTCATATGGTGTTATTTTGTGGGGTAACGCAGCTGACATTAAATCGATATTTGTAGTGCAAAAGCGGGCT